CCCATTTCCAGGACTCAAGTCCGACTATAAGAAAATAACCGGTTTCCCTGAATCCCTTCACTAAATATTACCCTGCTCACACTCCAACAGATCGTCAGGTCCCAAGTATCATTCGTCTCCATTCACTCCTATCTAATTACGCTCATGCACGCTTGCTGGAAGTCCAAGTCCCTCGCCCACAAAACCTCCTTTACTCCCTCTTTCCAACCCTTTCGAGGACGACCCCTACCCCTCTTTCCTTCCCCTATAGATTTATATGCTTTCCATGTCATTCTACTTTGATCCATTCTCTCTAAATGACCAAACCACCTCAACAACCCCTCTTCTGCCCTCTGACTAATGCTTTTATTAACTCCACACCTTCTCCTAATTTCCACACTCCGAATTTTCTGCATAATATTTACACCACACATTGCCCTTAGACAGGACATCTCCACTGCCTCCAACCGTCTCCTCGCTGCTGCATTTACCACCCAAGCTTCACATCCATATAAGAGTGTTGGTACTACTATACGTTCATACATTCCCTTCTTTGCCTCCATAGATAACGTTTTTTGACTCCACATATACCTCAACGCACCACTCACCTTTTTTCCTCATCAATTCTATGATTAACCTCATCCTTCATAAATCCATCCGCCGACACGTCAACTCCCAAGTATCTGAAAACATTCACTTCCTCCATACTCCTCCTCCCCAATTTGATATCCAATTTTTCTTTATCTAAATCATTTGATACCCTCATCACCTTACTCTTTTCTATGTTCACTTTCAACTTTCTAACCTTTACACATATTCTCAAACTCATCCACTAACCTTTTGCAATTTTTCTTTAGAATCTCCCATAAGCACAGTATCATCAGCAAAAAGTAACTGTGTCAATTCCCATTTTGAATTTGATTCCCCATAATTTAATCCCACCCCTCTCCCGAACACCCTAGCATTTACTTCTTTTACAACCCCATCTATAAATATATTAAACAACCATGGTGACATTACACATCCCTGTCTAAGAACCTACTTTTACCGGGAAATATTCTCCCTCTCTTCTACACACCCTAACCTGAGCCTCACTATCCTCATAAAAGCTCTTTACAGCATTTAGTAACTTACCACCTATTCCATAAACTTGCAACATCTGCCACATTGCTCCTCTATCCACTCTATCATATGCCTTTTCTAAATCCATAAATGCAATAAAAACTTCCCTACCTTTATCTAAATACTGTTCACATATATGCTTCAATGTAAACACTTGATCTACACATCCCCTACCCACTCTGAAGCCTCCTTGCTCATCCGCAATTCTACATTCTGTCTTACCTCTAATTCTTTCAATTATAACTCTACCGTATACTTTTCCTGGTATACTCAGTAAACTTATTCCTCTATAATTTTTACAATCTCTTTTGTCCCCTTTCCCTTTATATAAAGGGACTATACATGCTCTCCGCCAATCCCTAGGTACCTTCCCCTCTTTCATACATTTATTAAACAAAAGTACCAACCACTCCAACACTATATCCCCCCCTGCTTTTAACGTTTCTGTCATGATCCCATCAGTTCCAGCTGCTTTACCCCCTTTCATTCTACGTAATGCCTCACGTACCTCCACCACAATTACATTCTGTTCTTCTTCACTCCTAAAAGATGGTATACCTCCCTGGCCATTGCATGAAATTACCGCCTCCCTTTCTTCCTCAACAATTAAAAGTTCCTCATAATATTCTCGCCATCTACCTAATACCTCCCTCTCCCCATCTACTAACTCCCCTACTCTGTTTTTAACGGACAAATCCATACTTTCCCTAGGCTTTCTTAACTTGTTTAACTCACTCCAAAATTTTTTCTTATTTTCATTAAAATTTCTTGACAGTGCCTCTCCCACTCTTTCATCTGCTCTCCTTTTGCACTCTCTCACCACTCTCTTCACCTTTCTTTTACTCTCCATATACTCTGCTCTTCTTATAACACTTCTGCTTTGTAAAAACCTCTCGTAAGCTACCTTTTTCTCTTTTATCACACCCTTTACTTCATCATTCCACCAATCACTCCTCTTTCCTCCTGCCCCCACCCTCCTATAACCACAAACTTCTGCCCCACATTCTAATACTGCATTTTTAAAACTATTCCAACCCTCTTCAACCCCCCCACTACTCATCATTGCACTAGCCCACCTTTCTGCCAATAGTCGCTTATATCTCGCCCGAACTTCCTCCTCCCTTAGTTTATACACTTTCACCTCCCTCTTACTTGTTGTTGCCACCTTCCTCTTTTCCCATCTACCTCTTATTCTAACTGTAGCTACAACTAAATAATGATCTGATATATCAATTGCCCCTCTATAAACATGTACATCCTGGAGCCTACCCATCAACCTTTTATCCACCAATACATAATCTAACAAACTACTTTCATTACGTGCTAAATCATACCTTGTATATTTATTTATCCTCTTTTTCATAAAATTGTATTACTTATTACCAAATTTTCTTTCTAACACATAGCTCAATTAAAGGCTCCCCATTTACATTTACCCTGGCACCCCAAATTTACCTACTACTCCCTCCATAACATTTTTAACCCACTTTAGCATTGAAATCCCCAACCACCATTACTCTCACACTGATTCAAAACTCCCCAAGCATTCACTCAACATTTCCCAGAATCTCTCTCTCTCCTCTACACTTCTCTCTTCTCCAGGTGCATATACGCTTACTATAACCCACTTTTCACATCCAATCTTTATTTTACTCCACATAATCCTTGAATTTATGCATTTGTAGTCCCTCTTTTCCTGCCATAGCTTATCCTTCAACATTATTGCTACTCCTTCTTTAGCTCTAACTCTATTTGAAACCCCGGACCTAATCCCATTTATTCCTCTCCATTGAAACTCTCCCACCCCCTTCAGCTTTGTTTCACTTAAAGCCCAGGACATCCAGCTTCTTTTCATTCATAACATCCACAATCATCTCTTTCTTATCATTTGCACAAACATCCACGCACATTCAGACTTCCCACTTTGACAATTTTCTTCTTCTTATTCTTTTTAGTAATCTTTACAGGAAAAGGGGTTACTAGCCCATTGTTCCCGGCATTTTAGTTGACTTTTACAACACGCATGGCTTACGGAGGAAAGATTCTTATTCCACTTCCCCATGGATATAAAAGGAAAAGTAATAAGACCAAGAACTATTAAGATAAAATCAAAAAAAACTCAGATGAGTGTGTATAAATAAACATGTACATGTATGTGTAGTGTGACCTAAGTGTAAGTAGAAGTAGCAAGACGTACCTGTAATCTTGCATATTTATGAGAAAGACAAAAGACACCAGCAATCCTACCATCATGTAAAACAATTACAGGCTTTCGTTTTACACTCACTTGGCAGGACGGTAGTACCTCCCTGGGTGGTTGCTGTCTACCAACCTACTACCTATATATATATATATATATATATTATATAATATATATATATAATATATATATATATATATATATATATATTATAATGCAAAACAACCACTGTGAAAGAATAGAGAAATTCCAAGCGCTTTCGTGACTACTCATATTATCAAGGAACAATGTTCCTTGATAATGTGAGTAGACAAGAAAGCGCTTGGAATTTCTCTATTCTTTCACAGTGGTTGTTTTGCATATTCTGAAATCACCTGTTTACTGTGATCTTATTGCATATATATATATATATATATATATATATATATATATATATATATATATATATATATATATATATATATATTTATTAACACATCGGCCGTTTCCCACCAGGGCAGGGTGACCCAAAAAAGAAAAATCATTCACTCCATCACTGTCTTGCTAGAGCTGTGCTTTACACTACAGTTTTTAAACTGTAACATTAACACCCCTCCTTCAGAGTGCAGGCACTGTACTTCCCATCTCCAGGACTCAAGTCCGGCCTGCCGGTTTCCCTGAACCCCTTCATAAATGTTACTTTGCTCACACTCCAACAGCACGTCAATTATTAAAAATTATTTGTCTCCATTCACTCCTATCAAATACGCTCACGCATGCCTACTGGAAGTCCAAGCCCCTCGCACACAAAACCTCCTCTACCCCCTCCCTCCAACCTTTCCTAGGCCAACCCCTACCCCGCCTTCCCTCCACTACAGATTTATACACTCTCGAAGTCATTCTGTTTCGCTCCATTCTCTCTACATCTCTGAACCACCTCAACAACCCTTCCTCAGCCCTCTGGACAACAGTTTTGGTAATCCCGCACCTCCTCCTAACTTCCAAACTTCGAATTCTCTGCATTATATTCACACCACACATTGCCCTCAGACATGACATCTCCACTGCCTCCAGCCTTCTCCTCGCTGCAACATTCATCACCCATGCTTCACACCAATACAAGAGCATTGGTAAAACTATACTCTCATACATTCCCCTCTTTGCTTCCAGGGACCAAGTTCTTTGTCTCCACAGACTAATAAATGCACCGCTCACCTTTTTATCCCCTCATCAATTCTATGATTCACCTCATCTTTCACAGACCCATCTGCTGACACGTCCACTCCCAAATATCTGAAAACATTCACCTCCTCCATACTCTCCCCCTCCAATCTGATATCCAATCTTTCGTCACCTACTATTTTTGTTATCCTCATAACCTTACTCTTTCATAATTCACTTTTAATTTTCTTTTACATACCCTACCAAATTCAATAATAATTTTATTTTTATATATATTATATAAATATATATATATATATATATATAAAATATATATATAATATATTTTATATATATATATTATATGATTTTATTTCTGTCGTACCTTATAGTCAAATTTTAATTAAATAATAACATATTCAAGGGACTCAAATGGAAATAAGTTGCTTTGAGTGTTTTTTTATGGGAGTTATCTCAGGTAATTTACTTATGTACTATATATAATAATTGTAATCGCCTAATTTGTATAATCTAACCTATGCCTCTGGTTGTGGAATTTTGTGATGCCGTAGACACTGGCCAGAATGGTCACCAGCAGTAGTGGGTCCAGGAGAATCAGTGTGTTGAGCCGATGAACGAACGTATCTGGAAATATTGTTCTTGATGAACGAACGTATCTGGAAATATTGTTCTTGATGAACGAACGTATCTGGAAATATTGTTCTTGATGAATGAACGTATCTGGAAATATTGTTCTTGATGAATGAACGTATCTGGAAATATTGTTCTTGATGAATGAACGTATATGGTAACATTGTTCTTGATGAATGAAAAGTATCTGGAAATATGTTCTTGATGAATGAACGTATCTGGAAATATTGTTCTTGATGAATGAACGTATATGGTAACATTGTTCTTGATGAATGAACGTATCTGAAGACTTGTTGATGAATAAACGTATCTGAAAACATTTTTGAATTAATTGTTTCAAACATAGTTCATGTGAGGACGCAGAAGCGCACCTGTAAGGACGCAGAAAGCGCACCTGTAAGGACGCAGAAAGCGCACCTGTAAGGATGCAGAAAGCGCACCTGTAAGGACGCAGAAAGCGCACCTGTAAGGACGCAGAAAGCGCACCTGTAAGGACGCAGAAAGCGCACCTGTAAGGACGCAGAAAGCGCACCTGTAAGGACGCAGAAAGCGCACCCGTGAGAACTAAGAAAGCGCACCTGTGAGGACGCAGAGTGCAGCGAGGCCGGCAGCGGTGAGAGAGGTAGACAGCTCCCACACCAGCAGAAAACTGAGCGGCACCAGCATAGATCCCAGCACAGCCATCATCTGAAACACACAGCTTATCACCACACTTAGCACTGTATCCCAGCCATCATCTGAAACACACAGCTTATCACCACACCTAGCACTGTATCCCAGCCATCATCTGAAACACAGCTTATCACCACACTTAGCACTGTATCCCAGCCATCATCTGAAACACACAGCTTATCACCACACCTAGCACTGTATCCCAGCCATCATCTGAAACACAGCTTATCACCACACTTAGCACTGTATCCCAGCCATCATCTGAAACACACAGCTTATCACCACACCTAGCACTGTATCCCAGCCATCATCTGAAACACATCTTATCACCACACCCACAGGATGAATATGGGGTGCACAATAATCTAGCCACTTCGGTGGCAAAATCTAAAAATCTAAATCCTAGCACTGTATCCTAGCCATCATCTGAAACACACAGCTTATCACCACACCTAGCACTGTATCCCAGCCATCATCTGAAACACACAGCTTATCACCACACATAGCACTGTATCCCAGCCATCATCTGAAACACGCAGCTTATCACCACACCTAGCACTGTATCCCAGCCATCATCTGAAACACACAGCTTATCACCACACCTAGCACTGTATCCCAGCCATCATCTGAAACACACAGCTTATCACCACACCTAGCACTGTATCCTGGCCATCATCTGAAACACACAGCTTATCACCACACCTAGCACTGGATCCTAGCCATCATCTGAAACACACAGCTTATCACCACACCTAGCACTATATCCTAGCCATCATCTGAAACACAGCTTATCACCACACCTAGCACTGTATCCCAGCCATCATCTGAAACACACAGCTTATCACCACACCTAGCACTATATCCTAGCCATCATCCGAAACACACAGCTTATCACCACACATAGCACTATATCCTAGCCATCATCTGAAACACACAGCTTATCACCACACCTAGCACTATATCCTAGCCATCATCTGAAACACAACTTATTATCACAACAGTGTATCCCAGCCATCATTGTGTGTGCGTGTACTTGTACATATTCCTATGTATGAGTGCGCTCATGTGTACTCACCTATTTGTGGTTGCAGGGGTCGAGTCTTAGCTCCTGGCCCCGCCTCTTCACCGGTTGCAACTGGGTCCTCTCTCTACCCGCTCCATGAGCTTTATCAAACCTCGTCTTAAAACTATGTATGGTTCCTGCCTCCACTACATCACTTTCTAGGCTATTCCACTGCTTGACAACTCTATGACTGAAGAAATACTTCCTAATATCTCTCTGACTCATCTGTGTCTTCAACTTCCAATTGTGACCTCTTGTTTCAGTGTCCCCTCCCTGGAACATCCTGTCTTTGTCCACCTTGTCTATTCCGCGCAGTATTTTATATGTCGTTATCATGTCTCCCCTGACCATCCTGTCCTCTAGTGTCGTCAGGCCGATTTCCCTTAACCTTTCTTCATAAGACATTCCCCTTAGCTCTGGAACTAACCTTGTCGCAAACCTTTGCACTTTCTCTAGTTTCTTGACGTGCTTTATCAAGTGCGAGTTTTAAATTTTAGCAATGTGTGTGTGTGTGTGTACTCACCTAGTTGAGGTTGCAGGGGTCAAGTCCTAGCTCCTGGCCCCGCCTCTTCACTGGTCGCCACAAGGTCACTCTCCCTGAACCGTGAGCTTTATCATACCTCTGCTTAAAGCTATGTATGGATCCTGCCTCCACTACTTCGCTTCCCAAACTATTCCACTTCCTGACTACTCTGTGGCTGAAGAAATACTTCCTAACATCCCTGTGATTCATCTGCGTCTTCAACTTCCAACTGTGTCCCCTTGTGACTGTGTCCCATCCCTGGAACATCCTGTCTTTGTCCACCTTATCAATTCCTCTCAGTATTTTGTATGTCGTTATTGTGTCCCCCCTATCTCTCCTGTGCCCGAGTGTCGTCAGGTCGTGTGTGTGTGTGTGTGTGTGTGGTGTGTGTGTGTGTGTGTGTGTGTGTGTGTGTGTGTGTGTGTGTGTGTGTGTGTGTGTGTGTGTGTGTGTGTGTGTGAGTGTGTGCGTGACCCAACAATTAATATTTGCACCAATAACTCATTACAATTGTTACCGGGTGTGGACGTGTGAATTGCTTATTACTTTATAGTTTGTTCATGACTGTAACCATGTATAAACGCAAGTAAGTAAAGTTACTTACATGATTCATTACTTTTGTAACTTCTGACTTCATTACCTTTGTACCTTGTTCAGCTATCAAAACTTGGGACCCAATCCTGGACCCATTATGTACCTCTGTAATCTGTAAATACCTTTGTAACTTGTCATGATTGTGACCAGATCTATCTGGAATTCATTACCTTTGTAACTTGCTCAGCTATAAAAACTTTGGAGTCCAGTCCCTGGACCCATTATGTACCTCTGTAATCTTTTGACCTCCGCCCACAGGATGGGTATGGGGTGCATAATAAAGATGTTAGACTAAACTCACCGAGCGCAGAGCAACATAGTTAAGATCACGGGTGTAGATGCTACTCCCCTGGAAGTCAAAGGTTCCATTGTAGCCAGCCAACCACGCCGCTCCAGCGATCACCATCTGTAAGTTTATATAGGTATAAATATACATGAGTACAATTACATAAGCACTGAGTGATTACAATTGTCTTACACAGTTACATGTGTATAAATTACCCAACAAGATAGCCCAAAAGTTCATACAAACTAACTTATTTCCATTGTGGTCCTTGTAATATCTTATTAGCAGCCTAGCTATTAGATACAGTAAAAATCAGTCATAATTATTATAAAATTAAAGTAACTACACGAAATCAGTTTCAATAAAAAGAAGAACAATAGGAATAAAGTTAACGGAGTAGTACATATGAACATTAAATAGGGAAATGTAGTGTAGAAAATACTGTATATATTTTCCAGAAATTCAGTATTTATATGTAAATAGATGGCCATACTGTATTTAATATGTCATAGAAAACGGAAAGCCTGCGTCTGCGCAGACGAGACTCGCCATCTTGGTTTTGAATTTTGTACAAACATTGGTGTAATGGGAAGAATTTCTCGTGCTCTAGAGGTTAAAATTGTGTTGACACCTCTCAAATAGGAGGCGAAATTGGTGGATGTGCATTCCTGCATAACTTGAGATATCAGACGACTGGACAAGACAGCTCCAGGAACCTCAGATAAGCTCTCTAGATTTGTGTGTAATTCTGGCCAGCATTATTTTCATAGATTTAGTTAGAGTGAGGTTTTCTGAGTATGATACACATTAATCTCCAGTCAAATTGGTGAGTGATATTAAGATACATTTTCCTTCTGTTATGTAATTGTGTATATATATAACCATTTATTATTTTTAATATACAGTCCACAAATTTATATATTTACCAGTATTCCTGGTGTATGTATATTTCATTTAATTAATAGGTCCAGAGCAACTTGTGGTTATGACAGTGGTAGGTATCGAAGGGGGACATTTTTGCGACCTAGGTGTCCCAAATTCCTACTTGTCTATGTAACATTGATAAATAATAATTATCTTTGTTATTATTTACTGTTATGTACATAATTAGTTACATTCAGATAAATGCAGTTTTCCACATGTAGCGTAATAAAATAGGTTCACTATACAAGTAATCACTTTTCTCCCATTCTGTAGGTACTCTGCAAATACCTTTGTAATTTGTTATGATTGTGATCACATCTACCTGGCGTTCATTACCTTTGTAACTTGCTCAGCTATCAAAACTTTGAGGCCCAGTCCCTAGACCCATTATGTACCTCTGTAATCTTTTGACTACCGCCCACAGGATGGGTATGGGGTGCATAATAAACATATTAAACTAACTAACTGTAGGTTCATTCATTAGGGACCTCATAGTTCTCTTCCTGAACTGGTTTAAGCTAAGACGGGCCTTGACATGTTCAGTTATTTATTCCACTCATTCGCTCTTCTATAACAAAAGTTGTTTGAGGCCTGGCCACCTACTGTAGGTAGTATAAAATTGTGTTCGGCTCTTGATTCAGGCAAACAGAGCTACCCATCACTTCCCTGAATCAAACCAGGAGTATAACCCTTACAAGTTTAGTGTTTTTCCGTGATTAAAATTATACTAACCTAGTAGCATCTACAGCTAAGATTCTTAACCTATTTTGGACCATGGACCTCATTCAAAAATCTGATGAACGCTCTTGATAAGCACTCACATACACACAAAATAATGCCCTCAGACTATTCTATTTTTCCACTTTTTTTCAAGGAAAAAAAAAAGCAAGTATATTAAATAAACAGCTTTGAACTGTTTTCTTTCAGCAGTTTTATGCTTTTGAAACAAACCATCTAACAGCCGGATACCCATATCTTTAATTTTTTTTTATCATAAGAAAATAAAGGGAAGGAATTGAATTTAATAACTTGAATAATAAATCAGAAACATATCTACGACTATCACTGTAAATAGTTTTTAGTTTTTGCTATATACCCACCTTACCAGTGTCATTGGTAACTGGGGGTCAAATAATTATGGTAATTATTATTACAGTTCATTGCACTATAAAATACTTTCCTAACATCGAGCATCCAGTACTATTAAACAGTATTATAATAGTTATGCTGGAAGTAAAATATTACAACAAATACTTGAAATAAATTTCAGCAATTAGTTGAGCCGCCTGAGAGGCTAATTTATTGTGCATCCACAACTTATCTTCAGAGAGCTAGCACAAAAAGAGGATTACAGAGGTCACAAACCCCGCTACCCATAGTTACATTTCGAAAAATATTAGTCATTTCACATACTGCAATTTTACCTTAAAATTCCCAGCAACCCAATGTGAACAAAGAAAGATTTTTTATTGATGGATGCCGTTTCTCTATTTCCTTTCAATAAGAAATTACCCAAAATTGTACATCGCGGCCTCGATGGCGCAGTAGGCAGCGCGTGAGTCTCATAATCTCAAGGTCGTGAGTTCGATCCTCACTCGAGGCAAGTATTTTCTGATTAAACACAGTACTAAATAGCAATAAGCCTTGTTTCCAACTAAAAGATGGTATACCTATACACTCACTGTGTTATAGGATCCTATGGCAGCCATACCTGAGGTTACTGGAAGCTTGGTATGGGACTGGACCGCAGGGGCTTTAACCCCTGAAAACATCATCACTTTTAGGCATGACAGTTATACGTTACCTCACTATACACTTGCTTGTAATGGAACAATACCTTTGTAACAGAATTTGACATATAGATAATTCCTTTACAAAGATAAATTTCAAAGGAACTGGGGAAAAATAAACAGATGGTTTGCCCCTGGTTCACTGACCCACTGACTGCCTTTGGGTTCCCTGGACCACTGATTCAGAACCCGTAATCTATAGCCAGTAATCATACAAAGTGAATGTCTTCATGGTAGTTGTGGAAAATTGCATTTATCTGAATGTAACTAATTATGTACATAACAGTAAATGATAACAAAGATAATTATTATTTATCAATGTTACATAGACAAGTAGGAATTTGGGACACCTAGGACGCAAAAAATGTCCCCCTTCGATACCTACCACTGTCATAACCACAAGTTGCTCTGGACCTATTAATTAAATGAAATATACATACACCAGGAATACTGGTAAATATATAAATTTGTGGACTGTATATTAAAAATAATAAATGGTTATATATATACACAATTACATAACAGAAGGAAAATATATCTTAATATCACTCACCAATTTGACTGGAGATTAATGTGTATCATACTCAGAAAACCTCACTCTAACTAAATCTATGAAAATAATGCTGGCCAGAATTACACACAAATCTAGAGAGCTTATCTGAGGTTCCTGGAGCTGTCTTGTCCAGTCGTCTGATATCACAAGTTATGCAGTAATGCACATCCACCAATTTTGCCTCCTATTTGAGAGGTGTCAACACAATTTTAACCTCTAGAGCACGAAAAAATTTTCCCATTACACCAACGTTTGCACAAAATTCAAAACCAAGATGGCGAGTCTCGTCTGTGCAGACGCAGGCTTTCCGTTTTCTATGACAAATATTATTAAATACAGTATGGCCATCTATTTAAATATAAATACTGAATTTCTGGAAAATATATACAGTATTTTCCACACTGCGGCTGGCCGGAGTTCGTTGCTAAACGACTCAAATTGCTCATTTGACAATGGTGGAGGACCTGGGTACATATAGGATCTGGCATCCACACGGCGACATATTACACAAGATTTAATCACCCTTTTTACACTTTGCCGTCCTTGTGGAATCCAGAAAGTTTCCCTAATACAATTTAAGGTATCTTGTACCCCACCATGCATTACATTTTTATGGGCATTTAGAACAATCAAATTTGTTAGATGATGAGTTTTGGGCAGTAAGATAGGGTGTTTAGCATAATCACCCAATTCAGCATTTTGTAACCTACCTCTGCACTTAATTACATTGTTCTCTAAATACAGCCCCAATTTCTCTATTATGGAACCTTTCACAATTTTTCTTTCCATCATCAATTTAATCTCATTTCCATAGATTTCCTCCTGTACCCTCTTTATCCAAAATTCAAGAGGATGCAAAAACTTATATGAAATATTCATCTTGTTTAGAAAATTAAACACCAACTTAGTTACATTGATTAGTTTGGGTAAAGAAGAATACCTATTTATATCAATGGCTAAGGAAGGACAAACTATTGGAGCGGTGGTCATAGTAATTTCAACAGGAGCAATATACGCCTTTTGTACAGGCCAATTAGCTTTATTTACCAACCAGCTCGGTCCTTTAAACCATGATACAGCATTTACAAATTTAGCACAAGATAAATCTTGAGACACGAAATCAGCTGGATTCTCCTCACCAGGTATATGATTAAATGTTAACACATGCTGACCCAAACTATTATACTTCTCTTGCATCTTATTAATTTCAGCGACTCTGTTTTGTACGTACACAATTTTACTGTTTCCATTACGAATCCATTGTAAGGATACCTCATTATCAGACCAAATTACAGTGTCACTAATATTTACCTCCTGCAACATATTTCATATATAATTAACTAATTTGACACATAAATGGCTGTTAATTCCAACTGAGGCAAGGTACGTGATTTAATTGGAGACACTTTAGCCTTAGACGTAACAAGAGAAATAACACTATTACATTGAAGGTAAGCAACTGCTCCATATGCCAATTTTGAAGCATCACAAAAAATGTGGAGTACATTTTTCCCATTTGGATTGGCCACCTGGCGTGGGAACTCCAACATTGGAATTTTCTCATAATCACCAATTAATTCATCCCACCTGTTAATGAATTCCTCAGGTAGAATTTCATCTCAAGCACATTTAAGTTTCCATGCTTCCTGTATTAATAATTTCCCTCTTATAGTAAGGGGTGACACTAAACCTAGTGGATCAAAACATTTGGAAACTTCAGCAAGCAAAACTCTCTTAGTTAATTTATTGGGCATAATGTAATTATTAGGTTTTAACATTAACAAATCTCTCTCAGTATCCCAAGTTAAACCCAATACATTACTACATTTTGGTACTTCATCTCCAGGGTAATCTTTACTTATTTTGTCCTTTAATTTGGACGAATTACTATTCCATTCCCTCAGAGGCATATTTGCACTTTGCATTATTTTATTAGCCTCTCCATAAGTCATTAACAGTTCCTCTTCAGTTGACGTCACACCCAGGAAATTGTCCACATAAAATTGTTTGCTCATTACTTTACTCAATGGACTTTCCATATGTTTAAGGTGTGCATTTATCATCCCCTGAAGGAATGGACTGGATGTAGCACCAAATAATACGCTCCTAAAACGAAAGGTTTTCAGAGGGCTAAGTGGGTCACTAGGATTCTCAGGCCATAAGAAGCGGGTACAATCCCGGTCAGCCTCTTGTAAACCCACTCTTAGGAAAGCTTTACTTATGTCAGCCATAAAGGCATAATTTTTCATCCTGAAATTTAATAAGATATCTCCTAATTTTTCCGTCAACGAAGGACCAGTCATCAAACAGTCATTTAAACTAGGTACATTTTTGTTACTCCTGGCACTACAATTAAACACAATTCTCAGAGAAGTGGTCTTAGGATCCTTCTTCACTCCGTGATGTGGCAAATAGTGACCATAAATTTTGGCTTGCTCGGGAAAGGTACCCTTCTATAATTTATTAATTAACTGCTCAGCAATTATGTCATTATAGGCAGTTAACAATTCTGGTGTCTTACTCAGTTCGCGGAGCTGAGCCTTTAATTGTCCATATGCCATTCTGTAATTAGTGGGCAATTCTGGATGGTTCAATCTCCACGGAAGTCTTACCCAGTGTTGTCCAGATTCAAATTTTACATTCTCAGGTATTGCTCCTGAGTAAAAGAATCGTCTGGACTTTCTTCATTTACATTTTATTCCAATGCTGTCTAATTCCCACAATTTATGCACTGGCTCAACACCAACCTCTATGGAAGAATTATACGGGGGTTTACGATTTCATGAGTAAGACACACATTTATGGTATTTGTAGTTTCCTCTAGTCATGAATTATTATTACGAGGAATCCTACCTTTACATTACAGGGCCCTTTCCAGCAGTCTTCAAAAGGGTGACATCACATTTTTTTAAACCATACCCTTTACAAAGGGGCATAATAGTCACTACCTATCAAAATATTTATTGGGCCTACAGAATCATCACTTCCGCCAGAAGGTGCTAAATTTACATTATGTGAAAGTCTTTCTGTAGCTTTACTAAGCCCTACTGTAGATATTTTCTCTGGAAGTCTATCTACAATTACTGCATTAACACGTTTTTTTCTCATTGCCCAACCTGACAGTTACATAAACAGTGTCATACAATTGAGCTCTTTTATCCGAGAGAAAACCAGATAATTTTAAAGTTGTGCGATCTCCCATCTGTACTTTCATACCATCAAGACATTTACGTTTTATAAAGGTACGCTGGGATCCCTGGTCCAATAATGCATTTACACTTTTAGATTTATGCCTTTTATCATCAATTTTTACCTGTAAACAGGTAAGGCTACTTCAGCAAAACCATCATATTAACATTAGCAGCAATTTACATTAGCCACTGTTGTGTCAGGATTGTCAACATTATCATTATTATCAACATTATCATATAGACCTTTACACATGACTATATGGTGTCTTCCTTTGTGACATTGATAACAGAAGTTTAATTTGGCATAACAATCCTTTACATTGTGATTACCCAAACATCTGATACATCTATCAAGTTCCTCCAGTCTTTCAACTTTATCATTCCATGAATTGTATGCATTGCAATTCTTAGAAAAATGAGTACCCTTAGAGAGGAGACAATCTCTCCTTTCTTTGACTGGTTTCTTATTAACTGGGCTACTCTTAGGAGGGTACTTATTCTTCTTACCTTGTGGAGAATCATTATTTCTGATTCCTGCTCCTTGATATGCACCTATGTAACTCCTTTTAGGAAATGAATTTTGATTATTAACATTAGAATAATTTTTCCCTTGTGAAACTTGGCAGATACCTAAAGATTTTATCATGTGTTGCATCTTTAAAATGAGTTAGTTGGCTGGTCTGCAACTGCACAATCAATTCTTGTAGACCTAGTCTTATTTCCTCCAGACCAAAATAACCCTTGTGATATTTGTTTGAGAGTCATTCAAGTGTTTTATAGTTTAATTTATTCTGTACCATGGCACTCAATAACCAGTCTGAATCCTTCAGATTATATTTATTAATTAAAGTTTTGAGTGCTCTCCAGTTTAACTTTTAAACTTCTGTAAAACCTTTGTAAGTGTGATCTGGGGATTTTAAATTAACAATAAATATTCACTAGACCAACCTACTTTGTTCTATATTACCATAAGTGACCTTCAACAAGTAAAACTGCTTCCTTGTAAGAGTCTTTCTACATTGGGAAAGGCTTGTATGAGTATGTGAGCATCTCCTCTTACCTGTCCTTTGAGGTAAAATAATTTAGTTACACAGGCTAGGTCACTCCTGTCATGCACAGCTGCTTTAAAAATTGACCAAAATTCCTCCCAATTTTCACCAGGATTAAATACAGGTAAACACAATTCTGGGAGTTTTGGCAGACATATTATTTGTTGGAGCAGACTGATTAACTGCCTGGTTTACATATTTTAATTTATTCAAGGCCTGACTTTTACAAGAAAGAATCTTTTCCTCTAATTCATAACACTGATTAATTATGAGATCTACTTCAGTCTCATCTACACAATTTACTAATAAATCTCCTTCATATTTGTTGTAATATAATTTGCATGAATATTACCTAAAGCATCTAAATACAATTTTAAATCATCTGTATTCACAGTTTCTTGATTCATTAATTCCAAACATTTATTGTATGCTTTTGTTACATGACCCTTTCTAGCTTGCAGAGATGCTTTCTTTGCTCTATATTCCATATGTTTGTCTTCTACATTAATTTCCTCATTTTCAGCCATGATGCAATGTATTAAATTCAACTTAATAACACTGATTATGTACTAAATTATGCACTTTATAAAGGTAAATAGTACAACTTACCTTAAATAAATCCTAGCTATTTGAGCTTAGCAATTACATGTATTTTATAAATTTTAAATGTACATTAATACAAACTTGGCTCATCAAAATTAATATTATACAAATTAATAAATCCTTGCCAAATTTGGCATAGCAAAATTAAATACACATTAATAATTAGCTACACATGGCTTATCAATTACACTTTACACTGATATAAATCTTGGGCCCAAAATTGGCTTATCAAATTTAAATTTATTATATAAATTTTAAATCCTTGCCAGAATTTGGCATAGCAAAATTAATATTATACAAAATATAATCTATATCCACACTTGTCTTATCAATTACACATACAATGATATAATCTTGGCCAAATTGTCTTATCAAATTAGTATTTTTACAAATTAATATAAACTTGCCAGACTTGAGCTTAGCTTATCAAAATTAATATTGTAATTATTATAATCCATAACATTAAGTAAATTTGTGAACTTAACATCCACCTCCTTTGTCATTCACATATAATTTATTAAATAATTAACTAATTAATGACTTCACTAATTACCTCCGGTTCAAGAAGGACCAACGGGCAATTTAAATGTGGAAAATTGCATTTATCTGAATGTAAATAAATTTTGTACATAACAGTAAATGATAACAAAGATAATTATTATTTATCAATGTTACATAGACAAGTAGGAATTTGGGACACCTAGGTCGCAAAAATGTCCCCCTTCGATACCTACCACTGTCATAACCACAAAATTGCCTGGACCTATTAATTAAATGAAATATACATACACCAGGGAAATACTGGTAATTATATAAATTTGTGGGCTGTATATTAAAAATAATAAATGGTTATATATATACACAATTACAATAACAGAAGGAAAATATATCTAATATCACTCACCAATTTGACTGGAGATTAAATGTGTATCATACTCAGAAAACCTCACTCTAAATCTATGAAAATAATGTGGCCAGAATTAACACAAAACTAAAAGAGCTTATCTGAGGTTCCTGGAGCTGTCTTGTCCAGTCGTCTGATATCTCAAGGTATGCAGGAATGCATGTCCAACAATTTCGCCTCCTATTTGAGAGGTGTCAACACAATTTTAACCTCTAGAGCACGAAAAATTCTTCCCATTACACCAACGTTTGTACAAAATTCAAAACCAAGATGGCGAGTCTCGTCTGCGCAGACGCAGGCTTTCCGTTTTCTATGACAAATATTATTAAATACAGTATGGCCATCTATTTACATATAAATACTGAATTTCTGGAAAATATATAAAGTATTTTCCACAGTAGTGAACGGCTCCTGATTCTAGGAACCAGAGCTATTCCTCTTCCTCAAATGAAACCTGGTACTGCATGACCCTACGAGTTTAACGCTTCCCCGTAAACATCACTAATAATAATAATGTGAGGTGGTGAGGGAGGTGTTACTGTGTGAGGAAGGACTCACCTTGCCCAGGGGAGGGTGAACATCGTGGTAGAAGTTGCGGTTGATGTAATGGTTAGCGAAGGTACCGAAGTGCACCTCGTCCCACCTGTACCATGTACAGGGAAGTGGTCACGTCCCCATGTACACGCGGTGTGACGCCACAATCACGAAGATATAGGAAATAAACTTCAGTGAACAATACAAAGATAATGTTTGCTACGTAATAGCAGCCAGGTATAAACAAATACAATCTAATTTATTCAAAATACAGTCTGAATTTTTTTTTTTTTTAAATACAGTCTGAGCATTTTTTTCAAAATACAGCCTGATTTTTTTCAAAATATTCTAAATAATGTATTCAAAATGGCTGCAATTTTGACATTGTTTAGCTAACGTTTATTTTTTTTCACTGCGGGGCTGAAACAATCACTGTCTCCATATATAAAGTGCGGGTTGTGTAAGTGGGTACATGGCGTGGGGGGTCTGTATGCCATATAAAGGATGTGGGATGTGTACGGGTAGGCTACATACACGGTGTAGGGAAGGGCTAGCTAGGATACGTACATGATGTGGAGAAGGACAAGGTAGGATACTTACATAGTGGGAAGGACTGGGTAAGATGTGTGTGTACTTGGTGTGGGAAGGGCAGGACGGGATACAAACAGGGTGTGAGGAATAATACTGGGCAGGATAGTTATTTGTACAGGTGTGTGAAGGCAGGGCTTGACACGACATATACACAGCGTGCCTGGAGGCTGCCCGAATTGCCTAGGCATGCTAGTGGCTTTCTTTGTAATTAATATTTTATAATATGTAAACCACACATTGTAAGCTTTGCAAGGAAATAAACATTTTCATTTTCATTAGCTTAGGGAGGCCTGGAGGGTGATGGTTGCTATGGTAGGTCAGGTACACGGTATGAATGTGTGTATAGTAGGGCAAGTACACGGTATGAATGTGTGTATAGTAGGGCAAGTACACGGTGTATGGTAGGGTAGGCACATGGCAAGGAAGTGGCTAGGTACGTGGATTGTGTGGTATGATACCTACAGCGTGCCTGGAGGCTCGTCTAGTGAGGTCTGGCGGGTGATGGCTGCGAGCACTGTCAGTGTAACCAAGCTCACCCACCACTGCTCCTCACTCCTCAACGACAACCATCTGAAATAGTGTGGGCATGTATGTATGTATGTACATATTATATATATATTATATATATATATATATATATATATTATATATAAATATATTATAATATATATATAATATATATATATATATATATATATATATATATATATATTAAAATTTATTTATTTATTTATTTTTTATCCTTTAGTACTTAAAATACAAATAATTTTACAATGGTTTTGACAACACAGATGTTATACACTAAGTACATTATGTAGATTTAACTTAGAATAGCCAAATGAAATCACTGTGACTTTTTTTCTACTGGGTCCCCCCCAGTCTTCACTTCACTTGTCTAACTATCTGAAGTTTTCTAAATCCATTGTACCTTCCCCTTCTTAAACTACTTCCCATTCTCATAGTTTTCATTGTCGGCCACAGGGAACATTTTGTCTCAGTCCATCTAGTATATCTTCACATAACCAGAAACATACTGATCCTGATACAATCCTTATTCTCTTGTGGATATAAGTATAGAAATGTCTTTTTTGCAACTACGAAAATTACAGCCCCTCAAGGAAGGTTCCTTGATGTTGTGAGGGGCTCTTTATTTGGGATTGGATCTGTGCTCCATTCCCCGAATTAAGCCTGATGCCTTCCACATCCCCCCCCAGGCGCTGTATAATCCTCCGGGTTTAGCGCTTCCCCTTTATTTAAAAATAATAAACGAAAATACAATTTGCCTATGATTCTCACTCCCGTCTCATTTCCATTACTTTTTCAAATTCCAATAGATGAAAGTTATTTGCATCTCTGAACCCTTGTGGTTATTGTTTATTGAAAACACTTCTTCCAGTTCTCTACCAACTTTTAATTACCTTGCAGGTATACATGTCATTAAAACTGGTGTGCAGTCAAGCTTCCTACGTGGCTCCTTACTTCAGTGTAGGACTTCAATGCACTGTCTTCCAAATCTCCTACCCTAAACTGATTGTAGATCACAGCTAATTTATTATTATAATCAAAACAAGCGCTAAACCCCAAGGGCAATACAGCTGCGATCATAGCGAAAGGTTCCCTTCCCCCCCCACTCGCAAAATCCATGGGACACCTTATCAAGTCCAATGCCTTGATGAATTCATCTCCATCAAGAGTGTTTTTTACCTCTTCTCCTGTTTGTTGTGTATGGTTTTTTTTGACCCGCATCTCCATTGTTACTCTTTTCCACAGGTTTTCTGGCACTGCCCCCTTCCAGTGAGAAGACCTATTCAGATCGTTTGTTCAACACTTCACAAATTTTCTTGTCTTTTTTGTGAGCCCTCTTCTTACCTTATTCAAGTGAGTTACCTGATCTTTGACTGCCACCCTTCTTCTGATGTGGCTGTGAAGAAGTTTTGATTCAGATTTGGCCTTTGTCGCTATGCCATTCCCTAATTGTCGCTCGGCCTCTCTCCTCACTTTTTTCATATTCATTTCGGGCTAATCTGCTCGCTTGTCTTCTTGTCTCTCCTTCTTTGTCTATACTGTTTCTACGCTCTTATGCTTATTTTTTCCCTCTCCATTTCTGGTTGAAAAAAGAGCTCTCTTTGTTTTTACTATTTTCCCTTCTGGTATGAAGTTCTATATTTTCTGGCATTTTCCAGTTAGGTATTTTATCCTCTCTTTCACACTGACTTTCCTTCCTGTTCCCTTTCTCACTGCATTGAATTCAAGAATTCCCTCATTCCTTCAGTTTCTTTTTCTAGTCAGCCTTCTTATGCCTTCCAGTTGCCATTCTTCCTGTACGTTCAGTTCTACAAGCACTGTATGGTTGCTAGCGTCCAGGGAGTTCTCATATTCTGTTGTACCAATGTCAGGCATACGTTTTACCTAATACTAGGTCCAGTTATGTTGGCTCATCTCCTCTTCTCTCTCTTCTTGTTTTCTTAATTTGGTTACACATAGTTTTTTTCCGAACCACCTCCATCAATTTTGCCCTCCACATTTCTGGTCCCCTTTTTTGAGTCCCAGTTTTAATAATCCATTTTTTTGTGGTTGAAATCCCCCATAAGTAGCTTCGCTTTAGCTCTATGCCACAAAACTAATTGTTTCTGTGATGTCAACCATTGTTTTGTTGTCTTCATATTCCTAATTCAGTCTCCTAGTGTTGGTGGGTTGTACATCGCTGCAATCACTGCTTAGGGTCCCCCAGTCTTAATGATTCCACTATGTAGTCGCTTACCTCATGTCTGTCCCATCCATCTCTTCAAACTCAATGCTTTCTGAGCAGTAATGATACTCCATCCCTCTTTCCTACCTTATCACTTGATATCCTGCTGGGAATATGGCACTTAATATCATGTCGGTTAGTTTTGTCTCTGTAATAGCTACAATGTTTGGGGTTACCTATGCTATTCATTCTTTCAGTTCATCAATCTTGTTTGATATTCATTCCGAATTTGTGTATCATACTCGAAGCTTTCTTTCCTTCACCATACACTGATTTATCTTATTCCAGTCTGTTAATGGTCCAAGTTGGACCGAAACGTCGTCATAAGTTTGTAAGTGCGGGTTATTGTGTATTGTTCCATTCACGGTAGTGTGCCTTTTTATTCTATTTGTCTTATTCATGATACAGAGGGAAATTTCTGTATATAAATAGGTGTGTATCTCTGTGTATATAGACCGAAATTTCTTAGAGATAACTGTATATACATTATTCAACTGCCTCCCAGTATACACAAGGGGGTTACCAAGAGACCCCTGGCTGTCTTCAAGAAGGCTTTCGACAGGCACCTAAAGTCAGTACCTGACCAGCCGGGCTGTGGTTCGTACGTTGGTTTACGTGTGGCCAACAGTAACAGCCTGGTTGATCAGGCCCTGATCCACCGTGAGGCCTGGTCACAGTCCGGGTTCCAAGGGAGTTGACCCCGAAAACCTCTCCAGATATTGACTGTGGTGTAGTCTATATTGGTTGGTTTGTTAGGTTTAACGTGTATATACTAGACGATGGCCATTAAATCTACTGTCACTTGTATCCCGCCAGTCAAGTATACTTTAAAATAGGCATTACTCTCAGCATCTATATATTGATATACATACCTCACGGTGTATATACCTTCCTAGTAGAGTTGATAGGCCTTAAACCCACCTTAGAATAATCTAATGGTTATAATCATAACCATATTTGTTAATGGGATGGACCAGTAAGCCAGTGGAAGGCCTCTGTCAGATGACCAAAAGCTCCAGCTGCGGGTTATCTTATGACTAAGGTTTGTCAGGAAACACTTGTCCTGTTCCCCCCCCCTCACGGGAGGTTCATTGACGCTGGTGAAGGGCTCTTGATCTAGGGAACAGGATGTGCTCCAGTTCCCTGATTGCCTTCCATACCTCCCACAGGCGCTGTATAATCCCTACGGGTTTAGTGATCTCCATGACAATCATCTCGTCCTGACAAGCCTAAGCCCACCGATTCTTACCTTTTCTTATGTATCTTGTACTTGGTAGCAGTCCCCTTGCCACTCGTCTTATCTTCTGGGTTATTTATTCCTTCATTACAAGTCATGTTATTACTAATAAGAGAGGAGGAGCGAGCACCTCCCCCGGCAGCGTCCACCTTCTCACTGTCAACGTTGTCAACACCACAGGCAAATTTCCCGCCGGGAAAATTATCTTTATTGAAAGCTCTAATACTTTTTTTTCTTAATTATATTTTCCTTAAATACCGAAAAATCAGATATTATTTTCGCTATTTCTTAAGAAATAGTCGCGTTAATTTTGTTAGTTATGGATTATTTGGGGTCGATAAACTTACAGGAAACAAATTAAAAAAATAATTGATTAATAAATGTATTTGACTAATGGTGATATATACATTTGTATAAATATTTAAAATAATAATATGAAATTACACAAAGTAGAGGTAAATTATATTAAATATGACAATCATATATTTATATTATGAATAAGTATTGAAATATTAAAATACATCCTTAAGGGTCATACTTTCCTTCCTTTGATCCAAGGGAAGGAGAATACGAGTTCCTTGGACCAAGAGCATAATATAAATAGCAATAAAATATTTGTATTTGAAGGAAGAATAGCGAGTCTGGCAGCGGCGAGCAGCGACGTGGCTTCATGTTGTGCCTCCGGCAAGTGTGACGTCACTGCCTCCGGCAAGTGTGACGTCACTGCCGCAGGCGAGTGTGACGTCACTGCCTCCGGCAAGTGTGACGTCACTGCCGCAGGCGAGTGTGACGTTACTGCCGCAGGCGAGTGTGACGTTACTGCCGCAGGCGAGTGTGACGTTACTGCCGCAGGCGAGTGTGACGTTACTGCCTCCGGCAAGTGTGACGTTACTGCCGCAGGCGAGTGTGACGTCACTGCCTCCGGCAAGTGTGACGTTTACTGCCGCAGGCGAGTGTGACGTTACTGCCACCGGCGAGTGTGACGTTTACTGCCGCAGGCGAGTGTGACGTTACTGCCGCAGGCGAGTGTGACGTTACTGCCGCAGGCGAGTGTGACGTTACTGCCACCGGCGAGTGTGACGTTACTGCCGCAGGCGAGTGTGACGTCACTGCCTCCGGCAAGTGTGACGTTACTGCCGCAGGCGAGTGTGACGTTACTGCCACCGGCGAGTGTGACGTTACTGCCGCCGGCAAGTGTGACGTTACTGCCGCAGGCGAGTGTGACGTTACTGCCGCAGGCGAGTGTGACGTTACTGCCGCAGGCGAGTGTGACGTTACTGCCGCAGGCGAGTGTGACGTTACTGCCACCGGCGAGTGTGACGTTACTGCCCCAGGCGAGTGTGACGTCACTGCCTCCGGCAAGTGTGACGTTACTGCCGCAGGCGAGTGTGACGTTACTGCCGCAGGCGAGTGTGACGTTACTGCCACCGGCGAGTGTGACATTACTGCCACCGGCGAGTGTGACGTCACTGCCACCGGCAAGTGTGACGTTACTGCCGCAGGCGAGTGTGACGTCACTGCCACCGGCAAGTGTGACGTTACTGCCACAGGCGAGTGTGACGTTACTGCCACCGGCAAGTGTGACGTTACTGCCGCAGGCGAGTGTGACGTTACTGCCGCAGGCGAGTGTGACGTCACTGCCACCGGCAAGTGTGACGTTACTGCCGCAGGCGAGTGTGACGTTACTGCCACCGGCAAGTGTGACGTTACTGCCGCAGGGCGAGTGTGACGTTAAATGCCGCAGGCGAGTGTGACGTCACTGCCACCGGCGAGTGTGACGTTACTGCCGCCGGCAAGTGTGACGTTACTGCCGCAGGCGAGTGTGACGTTACTGCCACCGGCGAGTGTGACGTCACTGCCACCGGCGAGTGTGACGTCACTGCCGCCGGCAAGTGTGACGTTACTGCCGCAGGCGAGTGTGACGTTACTGCCACCGGCAAGTGTGACGTCACTGCCACCGGCGAGTGTGACGTCACTGCCGCCGGCAAGTGTGACGTTACTGCCGCAGGCGAGTGTGACGTTACTGCCACCGGGAAGTGTGACGTCACTGCCACCGGCGAGTGTGACGTCACTGCCACCGGCAAGTGTGACGTTACGCCGCAGGCGAGTGTGACGTTACTGCCACCGGCGAGTGTGACGTCACTGCCACCGGCGAGTGTGACGTTACTGCCCACCGGCGAGTGTGACGTCACTGCCGCAGGCGAGTGTGACGTTACTGCACCGGCGAGTGTGACGTCACTGCCACCGGCGAGTGTGACGTTACTGCCACCGGCGAGTGTGACGTCACTGCCGCAGGCGAGTGTAACGTCACTGCCACCGGCGAGTGTGACGTTACTGCCACCGGCGAGTGTGACGTTACTGCCACCGGCGAGTGTGACGTTACTGCCACCGGCGAGTGTGACGTCACTGCCGCAGGCGAGTGTAACGTCACTGCCACCGGCAAGTGTGACGTCACTGCCGCAGGCGAGTGTGACGTTACTGCCACCGGCGTGTGACGTTACTGCCGCAGGCGAGTGTGACGTTACTGCCACCGGCGAGTGTGACGTTACTGCCACCGGCGAGTGTGACGTTACTGCCACCGGCGAGTGTGACGTCACTGCCACCGGCGAGTGTGACGTTACTGCCACCGGCGAGTGTACGTCACTGCCACCGGCGAGTGTGACGTTACTGCCACCGGCGAGTGTGACGTCACTGCCGCAGGCGAGTGTAACGTCACTGCCACTGGCGAGTGTGACGTTACTGTCACCGGCGAGTGACGTCACTGCCGCAGACGAGTGTGACGTTACTGCCGCAGGCGAGTGTGACGTTACTGCTGCAGGCGAGTGTGACGTTACTGCCGCAGGCGAGTGTGACGTTACTGCCGCAGGCGAGTGTGACGTTACTGTCACCGGCGAGTGACGTCACTGCCGCAGACGAGTGTGACGTCTGCCACCGGCGAGTGTGACGTCCACTGCCGCAGGCGAGTGTGACGTTACTTTCCGCAGGCGTGTGACATCACTGCCACCGGCGAGTGTGACGTTACTGCCGCAGGCGTGTGACGTCACTGCCACCGGCGAGTGTGACGTTACTGCCGCAGGCGAGTGTGACGTTACTGCCGCAGACGAGTGTGACGTCACTGCCGCAGACGAGTGTGACGTCACTGCCGCAGACGAGTGTGACGTCACTGCCGCAGACGAGTGTGACGTTACTGCCGCAGACGAGTGTGACGTCACTGTCGCAGGCGGTAACGTCAAACAATTATAACATTCTCATACCGTAAACTACTTTCAACAACTCACAATGACATTTTCCCATAATATAATTTCAATATTTATTATTGAAACTATTGTAATTAGAGTAAAATTAATGTCAACTATAAATAAAAAAAGAAGTACAACTTAAACTATAATCAATTTCTGTAGTATTAAGTACTATCACAAGTACTATCACCAATCATTGCAACACTCTTTTAACAAATCCATTGAATCCTCCACCTTCCCTACAGTTCTCAAAATAGCAAGGGTCACCCTGATCCATAAAGGAGGAGACCAAACAGAGTTGAATAACTATAGGCCAATATCCAATTTACACCCTCTCTCAAAAATCTTCGAAAAATTAATTCATAAACGAATCTACTCCTACCTCATCTCCCAAAACATTCTCAACCCCTGCCAATTTGGATTCAGGCCTAATAAAAATACTAATGATGCTATTATACACATGCTAGAACATATATACACTGCAATAGAGAAAAAAGAAGTCCCACTGGGGATCTTCATTGACTTACGTAAAGCTTTTGATACAGTTGACCATGACTTGCTCCACGTAAAATTGTCACACTATGGTATTAGAGGGCACTCCCTCAACTACCTCAAGTCATACCTCAGCAACAGAAGCCAATATGTTACGCAAATGGGCAAGTCTTCCGCTCAACCAATTACAGTTGGTGTCCCACAGGGAAGTGTCCTTGGCCCTCTTCTCTTTCTCCTATAATAAATGACCTAAACCAAATGCTTCGCAATTACTCAAACCCACACTTTTTGCAGATGACACTACATACGTCTTCTCTCACCCGAGCCCAGTCACGCTAGCCAATACTGTAAACACCCCAATTACAGAAAATATCTACCTGGATGTGGACTAACAAACTTACACTAAACATTGACAAAACCTACTTCATTCAGTTTGGAAATAGAGCTACAGATGTACCTCTTAACATAACGATATAACAGATCACCTATCACAAAGCTAACAGAGGGAAAATTCTTAGGAATCCACCTTGATAATAGACTCAAATTTCATACACATATACAACAAATTTCTAAGAAAATTTCCAAGACTGTAGGCATACTATCGAAGATACGGTACTTATGCTCCACAGTCAGCCCTCCTGGCCCTATATCACTCTCTTATTTACCCCTATCTCACCTAAGGAATTTGTGCATGGGGCTCAAACAACAATTAACCATCTCAGACCACTAATTACCCAACAAAAGGCTGGCAGTTAGAATGATAACAAATTCTCACTACAGGCAACACACTCCACCAATATTCAAAAACACTCAACCTACTCACCATACAAAACATCCATACTTATTACTGCACCTATTACATACATAGAACACTTAACTCTGATATTAACCCTCCCCTCAAACATCTCCTTGCCAACCTCAACAGAACACATAACCATAACACAAGGCACAGATCACTCTTTGATGTTCCTCGTGTCCATCTCACGCTATGCAAAAACTCAATGCACATAAAAGGCCCTAAAATCTGGAATTCATTACCTGTAAATATAAAAGAAACACTACCTGTTTATAAATTCAAGTCTCTTCTCAAAGTCACTTACTCACTCAAAACCAAACAAATACTGAATAACTGAACCTTATAAATTTTTATATCTTAAATGTTTCTCACAATTATATCACATAAATGTTAAACCTAAAACCCAATCTAACAGAATACTTCATTGACTGAATGTACAACAATGCATGCAAAACCCTATGACCTGTCTTTGTAATACTCATTTGTGCTTTTTAGTTATCTGTTTAACAATAAAGTTTTTATCACTGATTACATCATTGCTTAGTTAATCTTAAGTTAATTTTAAGCCAGCCAGTTATGCTATGCATATAAGTGGCTTTGGCATGCTGCTCTTACCTG